CTGCTGCTGCTGCCACTACTGCTGCTTATCCTACTGCGTGTACTCCGGCTGCCGCTGCTGATGCTGCTGCTGCCAGTACTAGTTCGTGCTGTTATGAAAATGACGATGCGTAGCACCAATGCTGACGTTGCTGGTCGAACTTAGAGGTTCAAGATTGCATAGGCGCAGCCGCAGCAAGAACGAAGTATGGTAGATCCTAGCTGCTCTACGTCTGGTCATAGTGTTGCCCATGATTGCATAGCCAGGATAAGACAGCTGACTACTCCTCTCAGAGCTTTATGTATCGGAATGCTTTGCAAGGCTGAGGGTGTGCGGCTCCTTCGCCGGAAGAGCGGCTTTGCATCCGGGGCTAGGGCCTCGGTGGAGGTTGTTGTTGGTGCTTTTTTTCCGATAGCGTATCTGTTGCATCGGCGAATTCGATGTCTTCTGATCGCGTGAAAGTATAGTGGAAGAGCCGAGCTGAAGTCTGGCATTCTGCTCGATGGGGATCCCTTTTTCGGGGGGTTCTTTCCGGGCTCTGCACTCTAAGAAATCGGAGCGCGCTGCGGGGTTTCAGGCTCTTTTGCAAGAGGAGTTCTTGGCTTCAGGGGCCTGGGGATTGATAACCCTAAACCCCAAACCCTAAACCCTCAACCTTAACTGGGGGGTGGGTCCGGGATCACGAGGCTCTGGGCCTGGTGTAGACCTTTCCGACGGCGAGGTCGCAGGGTAAAGTTTTGGGGGCTCTGAAGACTGAGTCCAATGGCATGGCCCACTGTAGTCTCTAGAGGATGAGACTTCTGCCCGGAAGCCGATTCCAACTAGTTCTGTCGTTGTCCTCACACTCAGGTGCGCGGAGAAGGAGGCTACGCCGACGTCAAGCTGCTATGCTACGCCGACCTCGGAGTCCACAAGGTGGGTCTACGTTTCACCGCGGCTTTTGCTGCGGTTCAAAGGTGCTTTGGGCCTGCGGTGCAGTGCAGTTCAACTTCTCGCAACCACTTTCTGAGAAAAAGAAGCAAACACACAGTAGTGATCCTCCGCCCCGTTCGCTTCTGTCTTGTTACTTAGTTGCTTGTTGTGGTCCTTTGGGAAGTATCGTAGAGTAATTGCTCCGACCGTCCAAACACATAGCAGTGCTCGTTCTGTCGTGAAATCCGCGCCCTACCTGCAGGGATTGTCGGAGATCCCCTGTCCGAACAAAATCCTCGGGCGCGTTTTCAATTCGTACATCCGGTATCAAAGGTCCGCTCTGAGATCTTCCGAGAACATGTTGCGATCTTCCTTTGCAGTGCAGGCATTCGATGGCACGGAGATACCCCTTCGAATCATTGGCGAGGCTCCGGGGAAGCTGCTTGGAGGGTTTCCGCTCCAAGTGCAAATAATACTGCAAGTGCTGAGTATTAACAACCTATGGCAGTGAGCTAGTCATAATGCTACTAAGAATAGACAATAATCAGCAGAAGGAGAATAGTTCATTACACATGATAATGATGCGATGAGGAGGAAAGTGGTAGTCAGGGTTGGGACTCAGGACAAGAACACCACTAGCATTGCTTCTGTCAGTCCTGCAACCCCAGCACGGTCATTATTTAATCTGGACGCATCATCATCATCGTCATCGTCATCGTCATCGTCATCAGCATCATCATCATCATCATCATCATCATTATCGCCATCTTCTTCATCATCACTACCATGAAGATCGGCAGCACTATCACCGGAGTATGGCAATCATCGCCGTCATCCAATAACTAGTCATCGTAATCGTCGTCTTTCCCTGCCGTTGCCAGTACCACTGCTACTGTCATCACCATCACCATCCTCCTCGTCATCCTCACCCTCATCCGTCCTCATCACCATCATCATCAACAACATCATGTTCATGATCGTTGTCATCACCATCATCATCAACAACAACATCGTCATCATCATCCTCATCATCGACATCATCGTTGTTGGCTGGGCTATCCAACTTCCCGGAACCGTCAATCTTTGCACGTACAACGCAACGTCAGGTGCAGCTGATCCTTCAAAGCTACGAGCGGGTGGCCTTGACACGTTGCTTCGACATGGAGTCTGCGTAGTTGGATGCACAGGGATAATATCGAGAGACTTACATGCGCCCGTTGCTTCATACTTTCGGCACGCCGTCAAGCAGGTAAAGCACCGAATGCATCTCGCATACGAGGCTCGGTCGTGGAAGGGACTGATTTTTGCAGTGCTGCAGTTGAATGGGAGGTCAGGGAAGGGTATAAGGACAACCAGAACTGCAAGAAAAATCTCGACGAAACGGAGCATCTGGATCAGAGTAGCAGCCGAGAGAGCTCGGGGTGTGAGCCCTGGAGAGTGGAGTTCCGGAGTCCCGTTCCTGGAGCAATCGGACTGTGCTTCGCAACAGCTGGCCTAGCTGTAAGGATCCTCGCACTCTGGACGGTGCCGCATTTTCATCGAAGTATCCTTCCCAGTGTTCGTTCTCGTACCCTGTTAAATTGTCAGGGTTTTGCCTGCGTGGCTAAACCTGGTGCTTTCGTTTCCTGCTCTTCGGCACGACTACGGTTTTCTACTCCTACTTGTACATGGTACATGCTAGTACTTGATTGTAAGCTAGGAGGAGTCACAATCTGACAAGTTTATGTCATGGCTGGTATTAAATTGTCTTGGCTTTCCATATCTTTCCATCATCAGGTAGAAGAGAAGTGCTTCTATTCTAAAGAAGCATTATAGCTTCCATCTTCCTGCAGCTTTGACATGCGAGATCCTCATATACTGTTTGAGCCCTAGGCCCTAAACGCCTAAACTCTAAGCCCAAAACCAAAGTGCAGATTCCTGATGTTAGAACCTGGCAGACGGAAGAAGGCCCTTGACAAAAAAAGCTAAGCGAAACCGCCTAAAACTTCGGTCTCTTGCTTCATCTCTCTTCGTGCATCGCAGGTGAACCGCGGCAGCTTCGATCGCAAGGGCTGAATCGGCGCCCGGACCCTGGGGGTTTGGGGGAGTAAGGTGAATGGGCCTTAGGGGCTTGGGGGGCTTGGGGTTTGCGGTATGGGGTTTAGGGTTTAAGGATGTTGAGGCTTTTAGAGTATCGGTTTCGATTCGCAGGTTGCTGCAGCCCCCCTTGATATTTGCGATCTCGCTTCCTCCCACCACCAATAGAGCTTGGCCCTCCGATCTGCCACCAAGTGGTAGCGAAACGAAACTCCGCACACTGAGTCTGTGTTGTTGCTGATTACTATTGGGGCCTTAATAGTTAGAACAGGGTTTTGAGGCCCATTACACTATAACTATAATAAGGACCCGCGCCAAAATAGTAGTGGTAATTATTGAGGCCCCTACATCACCGACGTGATAATTTTTTGGCATGCCTCAATGAAGCGGAGGTTCTCACCAGCTTGCCCAAGCAGGGGGTTGCCACTTCTTCTGCGGGAAGGTTGAGGCAGCGATGCACCGTCCTTCCCCGGTGTGTCGAAGTTTGGGTCTACTTAGTGGGTAGTTGTCAAAATTATGGTTCCTTTTGGGGTACCCTAAATAATAGGTGCCGTATTATAATAAGGACCCAAAAAGGGACCATAATTTTGACAACCACCCACTTGGGGTCTGGGGCTTAGGGTTTAGATGGGTTTAGGATTCAGGGCTGGGGCTTGGTGGTCCCAGTGCTCTCTCATTCAAAGGGGGGGGCTCGAAACACTCCAGTGTGACGCAAGCCGTCATTTGACAAAGGGTTCTTGATCATTACCTGTACTTTTTTTTTTTTTTT